GGGGGGGGGGGGGGGGGGGGGGGGGGGGGGGGGGGGGGGGGAGTGGAAAAAATGAGGTGCAAGGGACAGAAAAGGAGGGAAAGGGAAAATAGAAGAATTGACACTTAACATTTCTTGACAAGTATCGAAGTACCATTCAAAAATCGACAATTAAATCCCATCCACCAGTTTGGGCTTCGAAATACCAGAATACCATATTGTAACAATGGGGTTTTCGGAAAATTTGCTTCTTTTTCACTGCTGCTACTGCCGGAGCTGTGGTTTTAGTTTCCTTCTGATTTTCCGTTTTATTCATCCTCATCTGCTTATAGATACTTAAGAAGCACTGATTTTCTTGACTAGTACTGGTCATTTTATTATTTGTGGTCAGTTGTTTTGGCTTATCACTTTATCTCTTACTCGCTCATGTCGTTGAATTTTTTGAGCGAAATTTTCACATGCATTGATTTGGTAAAGTCAGAGTCAAAATACCTTCCATCGTTCACTTTGTGTGGGAAATAGAGGCATTTGAAGGTATCCCGTATAATAGTTTCAGCTCCCCAGAACAAGGTTAAGTAGCGAAAACAGCTTGTTGGAGTTGGAGAGGAGTGCTTTCATACACCGGTGATCACAGATCACAAAGACTGCATAACTCTAAGGGGACTGGGTGTCCAAAGATTGAACTGGTTGTCAGGAGTGTTGCTTCATAGTTATTGCTCCTTGCGCAATTTTCAACAAAAAGCAATAAATCATTAAGTGACAGTTGGAACTGATGAATGAGTCCTCAACAAGTTGTAATTTTTAGCTTTTTAGGAGAAGTGATGCAGCTTGTGAGGCTGATTATGATGCCGCACCCGAGCCGGTGAAGTCGCAGCGTTTCTATGTTGGAGTAGATTGCCTTTCAAATAGATCGTCTCGTTACGTTCTGGAACAGCTGAAACCACGGGCTATCTTTGATGGTCATACACACTACGGTTGCCGTACTTGGTGAGCATGCATTTTCACATTTACGAGAAATTAGAACAAAAAATGATAGTAAGATAGAAGAAAAATTACGGAAAAGAAGGATTAAAATAAAAAAAATAGTTTTTACTTTTTATTTTAGTTCCCCTTTATTTTTATTTTATTTTTATTTACCATTATTTTTTGTTCTTATTTTTCGTATTTTATTTTTATTTTAACAAATAAAAAAATGAAAAAGTAAGCAAACTTGGAACATGTCCATGTCCACGTATATTTCATTCCCGCGCGATAACTGGATCTAGCCAGATAATTTTGCCGAAACACTGTTAAGCCGATTGTAGCAACCAGGTTGACCATGGAAGCCTAAATGGCGAAGGCGCCAGAGATTACAGCATGAAAGAATAGCATGGGAAAAGAAGGTAAGAGTGAGATAAGACTGTTAAATTTTGATGGTACCACTCAGGTTATTTCCGGCTGTCTATGCCTGTCATAATGAAAACCTGGGGAGTTTTTGACTTTTTGACTCGTTAGTTTAACCTAATTCAGGACTTTTTGTCTCATTCTGATCGGATATAATTAAACACTTTTTGCCTTGTTATCCACTTTAATCTCATTTCGTATCTTTTTCTGTATTTTTCTTAAAATTTATTGTTTTCCGATATTCTGATACCCTTTACAGGTGGCCCGAATATGGCACTTACGAGTGGACATTATCATCATTTTCATGGCGTAACATCGCACAACCAGCATTTCTCCTTGCCACCATTTCTCCAGACGATATACGTGTCAACAAATGCTTTTTGCCAAATGAAAAAACCGTTATTGGTATTTACGTTATCACTGCATTTGTGCTTTTGCTATTTATATCATATCAGCTCTGTGTCTGTATTCTACAGTACAGGAGATCGTATTCATCTTATCAAATTTTAAGCCAAAAATTTGATTAGGCTTTGTGGGTAATTTCATAGAAATCGATGATTTTTTCAGTCATTTTTATCAGCTTTATCAGTAGTTTATCACCTGTTAAAGGTTGAAAAGAAAATATCAGGAGAAGAAGGAAACAATGAAAAGGAGGAAAAGGATAAGAAAATGGGAAAGGGGTCTAAAAAAATATTTGTTTTAGGTAAGAAATGTTAGCATGTCTAATGATAACGAAACCTGACCTCTGTGAATGCTTTTTTCGGGTCTAATTTTTTCATTTTTTCTCTGATTCTTTCACTGTGATTGAATAATTCTTATGAATCCTGTGATGCTAAGACTTCTGATCTAACTGCATTTATCTTGTTTTGTTTTTTAAGCGACTCTTGGAAGAAATCTCTACCAGTGAAATACTAATTGTGCCATTTCCTGATGCCAGTGTTTCATACAGAGCGTGTCAAGACTGCTAAATCTCGATTTCGCAATAACTGTATAAAATTTGTATTACCAGGAATACAATTAATTATTTGTTGTGAGGCAAAACGACCTGAGAAACCAACAAAGCAGTTCCTCCTCCACAACAACATCTGTGCACGGTACCAGAAACTAATCACATTTTAACAAGACCGCCCAAGCAGTCAGCATAAATCTCACATGTTAGTGATATTACTGGGATGCTCCCACATGCCAAGCGCAGCTATACCAGTTCCTTTGGTATTTATAAGTTTTACTGATGCTACTTATATAGTTCGATGTAATTAGCTTAATTCCGTGTAGGTCTTTTTTTGTACATAGAGAGATGTTATGTGTAATGTAAATCGACTGTGGCTTGCTTATAAATACAAAAAAATTCATTTTTAAGCATTTTCAACAATATGATGATTACATTTTAGGCATGTATAGAA